ATTGATGTAAGTGTAATTAGATTATGATAAAATGCATAAAAAATTAAGAAACCAATAGTCACGGGTTTGTTTACAAAACAAAGTGACGTCATAACTACAGAGCTACATGGCGTCCAGCATTTTCATACAATTTGCGCGAAATTTAAACTTACTGACCGAATAAAAATATTGTATTTTTTCAGTTATTTTATCGTCGAAATATCGAAGTCTCGATATAAATCACGTCTGTAAATAAATAAGTGATGCGACTCGAGTCCTCTTTTAACTCGTGTCACCCGAGTGAATTTTCAAACTCGTACTCGAGTGAAAAATATGTTACTCGAGTCTCTATGCACTCTAGTTATCAAGTCAACTCAGCGAATCGAGTTGATCCTTGTGCCACTAGATATGACTTCGCTACTTGAATTTATTAATCTATGCCGCTTCTCTTTATTACTTAAATAAAACGTTAAAACTCTTTTAATGTGTATTATGCATGTGTTTGGTTATGTTATGTGTGTATTTGTTTAAAATTACTAAGTTATAACTCACTCGAGTAGCACGTTTAAAACTTGTTTACTCGAATCAATCAAAAACTCGAGTATGACTCGAGTGAGATAGTTAATTAGCTCGAGTAACTCGAGTCACAAAATCCTACTCGAGTTGCATCATTAAAATAAATATTACCCTTATGTCAATAACCATGAAAGTTTAAAACAATATATTGTTGCAGTATAGTATAGTATGCAGTATGCAGTATACATAGTACATTCTAACAACAGAACTTATAAGCTCACATTTTTGGCAGTCTATTTTGTTATTATTGGTAAGAAATTACTTAAGGGGATTGATAAAGCATGATTTCGTTTTCTGACAGAATAAAATTACATCGACAATTTATTTTTCGTATTTCATTAAGTCATCAAAAATGCCTTGAGGCTTGGTAATAAAAAAACCATTTGTACTGTTGCCTTTTAGTTATCTTGAGATGCCAATATTGAATTCATTTATAAAACATTTGAATATCGATTTATTAATCGAAATTCCAGTTAAATTCCAAAAAAAATAACAATATATGATTAGCCAAACAGAGTAAAAATAAGATAAATAACGTTAATTGAAATCTTATAAAAATGCCTAACTAGCCTTTTTCTTACGAATCCGAACCTGGCGAACTGGAGATAAAATTATTCGATATCTATGTACGTGTCTGAAAACTTAAAAAATGAGGTGAGTTACATAAAGGTTCATTACAATACAAGATGTCGGTTTCACCTTGTTTTGTATACAGCTATTTACACATGTATTTGTGTTTCGTTAGGCGGCATTCATTTGATTTTTTTTTCTTCTGTTTGTCCTATTTACGTCACCTATTGAAATAACCTACCAAAAATGGAAAACTTCAAATATCGTGTTCTTTACGAGTACGAGTTCCACTGTGGTACCAGTGCTGCGGAAACGGTTCGAAGAGTTAATGATGTGGCGGTTGTGTCGCAAAAGAACACACAGTGCGTTTTGGTACCAACGTTTTCATTCTGGAAATTTCAACCTGCAGAACAAGCCCCGGAGATGGCCGGAGACCCAAGTTAATAATGAAGAATTGAAGGCTATTGTGGAAGCGGATCCATTGCAAACCACGTCCGAGTTAGCTGCAGGCTGCGGTGTTAGTGTTAAAACTGTTTTAATCCACTTGAAAAAAATTGGAAAGATGGAAAAGCTTGAAAGGTCAAACCTCACGAATTGATTGAAGCAAACCGGCAAACGCGCTTCGGCTGCTGCGTTACATTACTTAACCGGCACAATAATGAAGGTTTTTTATATCGAATCATTACCTGTGATGAAAAGTGGATTCTCTACGATAATCGAAAGCGCTCATCGCAATGGTTGGAACCTGGCATGCCAGGCAAATCCTGCCCCAAGCGAAAATTGACCCCAAAAAAGTTACTTGTAAGCGTTTGGTGGACTAGTATCGGTGTCGTTCATTACAGTTTTCTCAAATCTGGCCAGACGATTACGGCAGACGTCTATTGTCAGCAATTGCAAAACATACTGGAAAAACTAACTGTTAAACAACCGAGGCTGGTCAATCGCCCTACGCTACTGCTACTTCACGACAACGTTGGACCACACACTGCACAACAGACGGCTACCAAATTAGAAGAGCTTTAATTGGAATGTCTAAGACATCCACCGTACTCCCCGGACCTTTCTCCAACAGATTACCATTTTCTCGAAATTTGAATAACTTCTTGCAAGGGAAACAAATTCAACTCCGATGGGGCAGTGCAATCGCCTTTAAAGATTTTATTTATTGCCGTCCGAATCGTTTTTTTACTAAGGGGATCAAGGAACTACCTATTATATGGCAAAAGTGCATAGATAACAATGGTTTATACTTTGATTAAATAAATATATTATATTAAAAAATATTCGTCTTTTTGTTCCTCCCATACCAAACACCAATTTCATATGTAAGGAACTTATATAAGTAGATTGACTAGAATAGATCCCTCAACTGAATATGACAATTTTGTTATTTTATGTGGATAACTGTTATTGACTTTATAAGTACATAAATGATAGAATTAAGTATTGAAGTGTAATTCGAGGTTATAGTTGTTATTCCAAATAAATAAATTAATTAAAACAAATTATAGCATTTTAGTAATTAAAGCGTAAGGTAGTAAATCTCTCGTCTATAATTAATTCCGGTTACCTGATACATTAGTCGTAAAGAGGGCAGAATTACGCACTTTAATGTTTATAGAAGAATTAATAAGTCAATGCGACGAAGAAGAAACGAAGTGAGATGCTCCTAAAGTACGTTATATTCTTAAATATTCTCTGATAATTATTATAATTATATTAAATATATTTTACCAATAATAATTTTACGATAAAAAATATATTTCATCAACTCTCATCGGCATTTATCTATTTAATATTTATTTTTGCGAAACCCTCAAAATGCGTAATCCCCCTTTAAATAGTATAAAATCGTTGGTATTAATAAAACCTATTTATACTTGATATATCGTAATAACACACTATATCTACACATATATAATATTAATAAATAGGTTAATAAAACCTCATTCACAACAAAAGGAACGTTGTACAACACTCATAGATTTCATGTATATTTTACATATAAGTACGATATAATATAAATACACACCTATTACTTGTATATAAGTAATAATTTAATAATCGCTATTAATAATAATGCCAATACAAATATCATAGACTTATACACTAATACTTTGGAATTAAATGTTTTTTTTTTGTTATTTACAATAATAATCTTATGATAATTAAAAATAGATACATAAATTTAGAATTTTAATCAATACGAATATACCTATTATGCTATACTAAATCCACCAACGGTAGGTAAAAAGAGAATTTTAAAATACTACTCGTCCAATTTACTCATGATTATTTCAGTTCACACCAAAAAAAATATATCACAAAAGTGACAATCACATTTTTTAAATCTTACATACCGAGAGCAGCTTAACTGTGGCGAGTAACTTCGGCGAGTAGCACACACTTTGGCATCTAACATTTTGAAATCGTTGTATTTTTTTTTCCTTCATTTCTAGCAAAATAACCGCTGGAATTTCTAATACATCAAAATTGAATAGGAAAAGAAAGGGACACATAAATGCAGTGTATAGTAAAACTCCATTAAAGATTCTATTAGATTTAAAAATTATAATATATATTGAACTCACTAACTTATCAAAGTATATTCGCACTCACACGCGAACATACAAATATAATATTGCTTAAGTTTTCGCAATCAGTGGATCCTTCGCACATTGTTATCGTTACCTATGGGGAATTTAGACTATCACTGGATAAGAATGTCTTTCTTTGAATATCATTTTTAAAACCGCCACTAATGAGGCTATTCGGGTTTCTTAAAAAATATATATCAAAATAATATAACTTAAACTTCAAAATCATTAGAAGAAGTCGCATAATGAATGTCAACTGTCTTTTTAATGATATTGGAAACACGGAAAGCTGTTTTAGCTATGGCTTAAATGAATTATTATAAAAAAGAGCTATGCGTGTCTTGCCACCAAAGGTTACATGGGAAATTTTAAAAATGAAAATTATGAATTGTGAACTTCGTCACTTTTACCCTAGAAGCTCAACCTTATCAGAACACCACGTAGAGAAATACTTCGACTACTGGAATTACAAATTTACCACAACTTAGAACTATATATAGTTTCTCTAACGACATCATGATGTTCATACATTTTCAGCATTGTCATACTTGCATTGTCTACTACTAAATCACTCTTAACATATTTGGGCATTTATTAGTTCTTTAATATTGTGTTGATTTAATCAATGAATTATATTCTTCTTAAAACAGAAGAGTTAAAATAAATCGAAGCACTCAACCTTAATTAAAGAAAATATATCACAAAACTAGAAAACTACGAAATTATTCACCTACAATGGACGGGATGTTTAACTCACAAATTAAAACGGAATATTCGAAATATCATTCGTCGCTTTCAACAGAAAAAAAAATGATTTGGCGGATCGTAGGTTATACGACAACAATTTAATATTATCTATTTAATTCATTCCATTTAAGAAATAATTTTAAAACTATACAATTTTAGTTTTTCCATGTAATTACCGAGATCACACAGTCAAAAGTAAATTTCTTACTAAGGGGCTAAATTTGAAGGAATTAAAATATAATTGAAATACTTACGTATTAAAAAGCTGATTTTGTACTATATACTTTTTTTTATAATTACTATTTGTTTGACTATTCTGTATAGTATGTTGTAACCGAAATAAAATAGGATTTAAATGCATGAACTCGGTACGTTTACGTGTATATAAAATCAGGTATCAAAATTGGGCAATATTCATTCTGATACCTTATAAATCAAATCAGTACCGATCCTTACCAAATACTGATAGCAATTTCACACCACTCTATACCATCAAAAAGCTCTTCTTCCACAATATATTTTATAGTAAAATTAATTGTAAACCCCTCTAGTCATTGCTTCTCTGTTCCTGTTGTGCCATTTACAAGATAAAATTCTTACGTAAGTTCTTCTAAATGTTGCATTACACAAAGCATAGCATACAGGATTTATGGTGGAGTTGATGTAGCACAGTGCATAAAAAAATGACCAAAGTTCATCCGGTATACACTTTGTGCATGCCGTCAAAGGTTTGAGCAACACAAGAATGTTATAAGGCGTCCAAGTAATTATAAATGAGAGCAGGATAGCAGATAACGTCTTAGCAGCTTTCGTCTCTTGTTTCTTCTCCTGAGTCTTCTTCTTTTTAGGTTGTTTTGACGTTATCCCTTTAGATGCTAATTGTTTTGGAATTATTTTTGCATTGAGAGGTATTCTGACATCCTGTATGTGGGATGTTCTCCTCGTTAATGCTGGATGCCCAGCCGGATGTAAATTAAGCTCTGAATCACCTCTAGTAGGTGGTCTGTAATGTGTTCTTGTGTTTGAAGGCGGCGATTCTTCTGTAATCATTTTTATTGTAGCCCTGTCAGAGTCTGCATCTGGTAACCTAATGACGATCGTGTAAACTGAATCGGCGGATGCTGACTTTGTTGCTGGTGAGGTAGTAGTGTTGATTCTTGTGTTAGGTGGGAGGGAGCGGCTGTCTCGGGCCGCCGGCATTGACCCAGGTGGTGGCTCGTACGTCCTGCGGAGAGGGGAGGTCCCACCGTCAGGACCAGACGACCCACCTGAGCCACCCCTTGCAGCGTATGGATCTCTGATGACGTTTAAGGACGTGCATCTGTTAAAATATGTACCTTTTACTGTAATGCCAAAGTCTAAAACAACTGAATATAGAACAAAAATATAGTATGGAGAGAGTATTAAGCTTTTTGGGATTGCTGTTTGAGAAAATTCATTACACTGGAATGTTATTTCATAAGTTAATCGTTAGGAAAATCTTTTTCTTCGATAAATATTAGTAAGAATAACTAAGTCATGATGGATTCTTCAATAACTTATTTTCTTTAGAAAAAGTTGTAACTTAATTATCTACTCAGAGATTATAACAAAAATAATAGCTAATATAAATACATAGACTATAAAAGTGAAACTAAGATTTAAAAATATTGTTGCTAATTATATTAATAAGTTCTTAAAGCAAATACTTGGACTTTTTACGAAAATTATGCGGACAAACGACTATACTATTTAGAAAAGTTAAAAAGAGCAAATGCAAAATGAAAAAAAAAGAGCAAATTTTTATAACTGCGCTGAAAATGCATTAATTTAACAAAAACTACTTGCATAATGTTTTTCATGGTACTACCATGAAATACATTACTGCCATGTTACTACCATGAAAAACATTACGCAGACTAATATGCGTCACATTAATGACCATTAGATAGAAATAATACTGCAAAATTATAACTTATCCCAGTTCTTATTTACTTAGTTCTTAGTTTTATATTATTTTACATGTGGAAGGCTACGTTATTTTTATTGTTGCTGATCACTATAAGTTCTTTGACAAATTATGTTTAGATCAACTAATGTGTTTGATATTAGTATCATTAAAGTGAATGTTTCGATCACAAAATACGCAGAAACAACGAAAGTCTGAAAACTAATTGTAGTGGCAAGAACTCATCATTGTCCAAATATTACACCAACGTAAAAGACGCGCTGGGTAGGAATAAATGGAGGTTAATAATTCTTACCAGACTTAACCTAATGCTGACCACGATCCTCAGTCATAGGGTGTAGATTAGGAGAGTAGAGAGATTTTTAAAGTACCTGGAGACAGAACTTTGCAAAGGCGTCTCGACAGACACAGGGGTGGCGTAGCCCTGATCTGATGGCTCCTCCTCTGGCTCAGTATCTTCAAGATCATCACGTCCTGAATGCCACCATGCAACACACCACGCCCGCACTGCCGCCCAACCACGCTTCTGGCGCCGCGCAGAACCAGACTGTTGACAAAACACTTGGCTTTAGTATCGGCGACTACGCAGACTGTGTTGATATTTTTTTCATAGACACGGATGCTAAAGAAGTTTAATTTTTCAAAGTGTCAAAGTGTGAAGTTTGTTAGTTTTCGAGACACAATTTTTTGAAAATACAAAAAATATAACTTTTGTTTGATGGTTTATGAACTTTGGTAAATTTTTTGTCTTAAATACTGACTAGGCAAAGAAATATATATGCATACATCCAAATTTTGAGTTATTTTTTTTTATAAAAAAACTATAAACGTTTTTTGGACTTCCTTCTTTCGTATATCATAAACATATATTTTGATATTTTTTCACGAGAAATAAAACTTAAACTATAAAATAAGGTCGAAATTTTAATTATCTGGATGATATAGTAATGAAAATTTCTTTTGCTTCCGACAAAACTATTATCTAAATACCTCCCATATATCCAAACTCCATAATATCCAAAAAAATGGAAAAAAACAACTCACAATCACATATAGAGTAAAGTAAAATATAGACGCCCTAACGGTTTTTCTCTATTTGCAAAAAAATTAAAGCTAGCAAAATAAAATATACAATAATATATTTTATTACAATAATAATCCATCACCTATATAAATTTAAAACAAAAAACAACTGAATATTTTCACTACATTTATTAATAGTTTACCGAAATTTGTACTTTGTTTATTCCGATATCAAATTTTATTTATATACTTACTTTTTCTGTTTGTTTTTCTACTATAATAGAATTGTATTTTTTTTCCTTTAGTGTACACAATTTTATTCGACCAATTCTGAGCCAAATATCTAATTTCAATTTAGGGTACATTGTAAGGTACAATACTTCTTTAAATCGTATCCACAATATATCTGTCGTAATTAATTAAGTCCCTACAAATTATTTAAATTTACATACATTTGTGTAATAATTTGAAAAATTTTAAAATACTCTTTGATTTTTTTTCAAACAACCAAACAAACCTTAATTAATTTTTTTTTTTATTTTGCATTCTTAAAAATGCATCGGACAGCTGTTCTAACTATGGTTGCACATGTATGAATTAGTATTTCCGTGTCTTTTTATTGTAGCTATTTACTAGGTACGATTTAGGTATCGGTCCAATTTACCCAACTCCACACTAATCGGAGTAAAAGTGCCTCAAAATTAATTGGATTTCAGAATTTTAGAAGCTTACCAAACTAAAGGTGCTATTGTAACCCTAGTCGAAAATCATGTTTTCATTATTGTCGTTTAACGCTCACTGCTGAGCATAGGCCTCATCCATGGGTCGCTACGATGTAAATAATAATTACTATAGCCCAAGCCTTTGGAGCTAATTAAAATTGCTATGTTTACTAAAGACGGCAAATGAATCCGCATAAAATTCCTAATGAAGAAAATGTGGATACAGAAAATCTCAGATGAATTATCATATAACTTTCTCGTCTATGTCATTTATTCGTACAGTTTTTAACTAGAACACAGCACAAAAATTGAAGATGTATTTAGATATATTTTCCTTAATAAGAAACAAATTAAATAAGTTATTTAAGTCTCTTATGCAGTACTTTTTCTAAAATAATTTAAAGGATAATTTTATACAGTACAATTTTATTTTTATATACATGAGAAATGCATAATGCTAATATTTTTATAATCACGTAAAAAAAAATAATATATTTTAAAAAAAATGTACCGACTACCATACCTTTGGCATTTTAGTTTGCTGAATATTTAAACATAAAAAAGGTATAGTAATAATTAATTTGCTATTGAATGAGGTACTGTAGATTGAAATACAATTTGAGTTCAGCCCACAGGCATTAGCAAAAGCAATATCTGAAAATATCTGTGTGGTCGAAAATCACGAAACCATTTCAACATTTTGTAAATTAATGTTAAGTTTACATTGCTAATTAAATTAGCAGATACGATATAACAAAGAACTCGTGTTGCCATGCCCTCAATTAATTAATTCCGTATCTAATCTCCGTAATCTCACCTATCCCGGTTCGCCTCCGGATTCTCATTTAAAATCTCAACTTATCCCCGAGGGAGTTCTATTAATTGTTTAATTAATTGAAACAACGATCACATACAACAAATGCCATACACATTTTCAGAACCAGTTTCCATCTTTGTGCCAAATAGCCTGATATAGCCGTGCCGTTTGGCATTCATCCAACATTTGAGACCATATACGTTGAATTTTGATCCATTTGGAATACAACTTTAATCCAAAGACATAAAGAATACGGAAAAATCATATTTCTCCTGTATTGGGCAGTATTTCGCATTCACAGCTATTTCCAATGGTATCATCAAAAATTCCAAAACGAATGCAATATATTATTTGTTCCGTATATTCTGTCTTATTATAATCATTATCATCATAAGTGCTTTTACATCCCCACTGCAGGGGAGTAGACTTTCCTTGTGGATGGTTAAGGAGGATGAATCATGGCTGATGATTAAAGGGGATTAATGACTGCAAATGTAGAAATAGAGGGACCAACGAGCTAACGTGCCCTCCGAAGCACGGAGTAGCTCAAGATAATATTTTTTTGGTAACTCATCACGTGACCGACCCGTATCTGTGTGTCCGTGTCTTATTATAAAACGATTACTAAAGTTAGTACTTGGTTTAAACCATTGGCCACCTATTGCAAATTGACAATGACACAAGAGATAACGTCATATTGAGACGTGTTAACTTGATATATTTGTAAGTATTGTTACTTTAGTGAAAACCAACACCCCATCTGATCATGTGGGTCTTCAAATCCATATATGAAAGAATTGGCATATACTTAATGATAATTTCCTATTTGATCTTTTTAGACAAATCCTAACCGATATTTTACTAGTTACACTTGAAAAGTCATAGACAACCCACTATGTAGGATTTATGTGAATTATAGACGGTTTTAAACATGAACTATCATATTTCACTTTCTTTTTGTTTGTTTTAACTAAAGTTTTTGTTTATAATCAATTTAATATAAGTAATTAATTCTGGGGCGCTCTCTTAGGTACTGTAATTTCCTGGATCACATTGTATTAACTTTGCTAAATTTTTAACTATTTTTCAATATTCAGTTAAGCCACAAAGCTCAATTAAGCAATTTCTGACCACTTTATGGAAGGTTAAATTTATTTACGATATAAAACAGTGGTTGTGAATAGCTCGCGTGTTGTGAAAATGTTCCAACCATACACAAATTTATTTTAATAATAGCTTGCAGTTGCCTTTGTTATGATTCTGAACGAATATTACATTTCAAAAAACAATTGATCTAAGTTTCTCATAATAAGTGCCTTTATTAGATGTGTCACACATACTATGCAGCTTGTAAAATTATATTTTCATTTACACAAAGTGTGCCAAAGGGTGGAATTCCATTCCTGAATCTATTAAAGGCGAAAGTGAATAGGCTTCTTTTGGGCAAGCTTATTGCACCATAGATCTCATCATACCGCCAGTCTGGATTACACATTAGTAATAAAAAATACTCCATCTTTGGGTCACCGACTAACATCCCAATTTTAATTGTAATCATGTATTATCTTGCGGATTCTATAATCTTCATTGCTATAACTTTGAAACGAAGATACTTGTATCTAGCAACTGGATAGTAAGCACTAACTGTGAGACTTTTTCACTATGCATCAGCCACAACAAATCTCACAACCATTACTACACGTGGAACTACCACTACCCTCTATAGAGCAGCCTCATTTTCTAAACTTTAGATAAGATGTGTGACCACATGAGATTACCAAAGGGTCATGACATATCATTACCATGTTCTACGACCACAATCGTAACAAAAGAACTGTCGGATGGATGATCAAAAACTTCTAAAAACAAACTACTACGTGCTTCAGAAAATACTTAATGGAATTACTTTCTGTAGAATGTCATTAACATGCTGTTAAGTCCCACCAATCCGCGTTATGCCGCTTTATAGGAAAAGTCCCAGCATTGATAACATATGGCTGATGATGATAATGATATAATCTTAATTAAACTAATAAGCATCTTAAATACCTGATGATCCCGCCACCTCCCATCATGTAAGGCCCCACGCACGTGGTACACGGAATCCGCATCGCCAGACTCGGACCGCACACGACCATCAATCTCTCTTGTCTCGTCACTGCAGGCGAAAAATATATAAACTCACATTATCATTGTCTCTAAAACATAAATCATATTTCTTAATCCCTAAAAAGATCATAGAGATCCTTCTACATCATAATGTGACTACGAGAATAGAATCTGCAGAAACGAAACCGGCTAGTGTGTATGAAAATATTATAAATGAGCGTTAGAAAAGCGAAACACTTAAGATCCAAACATTGTCAAATTTTGATCTTAAGTATACTCCGTTTTTACTAAACCGAACACGATCGGTCGAAAGTCTTCAGTACGAAGATCTATTTCATTGACGCGTTCTTTGTTACGATGACGTTAACTCGAAAAATAAACTCCCTACTTGAGTTCGAAAATTTGATTTCATTTTCAGTACATTGAGTGAAACAGTGCCTGATGATGTCGTCTATATTATCTAATTTGCAAAGGATCCAGTGAGAGGATATATAGTGTACGGTCCATAACCTCACAATAGTATATTAAAACAATTCAACAATTCAATTTTTAGTATTCATTTGATTGTCATGGTGTATACTCATCAATAAAACAATATTATATCATTATTTCTATCAATTAAACTCTTTCCCTATCATTTCTTATCAAATTAAAGATTGCGCGATAGCAGCTCGTACAAATAGAATACCGCAGGGTGTAATATTTGGACCAAAACATTACTCACTAATAATTGTTATTTTATATCAACTATAAAACCCTCGCAAAAACGTATGTTTTTACGTTGGTGCATCTAACAAAAACAAATTGATTATAATACATAAACAAAGCCTCTAAACTAAGTGAAAACTGTTTGAACGTAACGTATATCTGATGAATTCTGAAAAAAGTCTGAATCGCGGTTCCTCAACGCACGTCTGTAATTAATTGGTGCGGTAGAATTGAATCAGACACTCGTCGCCTCTAACCGAATCACGAACCGCGGCCCACTTCTCTACCGTAACTAGATTCACATCTCGTGCCGTTCACAGAATCCCAGCATGAATTTTCATTAGGAGCCGTTAACTGAAATATAATTTACTCTCATGTTTCTCAGTACGGTTTATACCTTTTGAGCCAGGAGATATTGTATTGATTGAGTGAAATAAGAATCATAAATCTCTAGTCGGATTATAAGTTTTATTACGTTTGGTATTTCATAATAATTGAGGAATCTCATCAAAACAATTTAACACTTACTCGATACCACAGTAGTTTTTTTGCCTTCAATCTGCATGGCTGAATATGCAAATGAATGAACAACGTCCATTATATAGTATGTATGTAGCCTTGAGCGATTTCAAATTATAAGGCTGTTTAAAGGCGTTTTCCTCTAAGTGTTATTTTATTTTATAATCTAACGGTTGAATCCGTTAGATGGACTGGAGAACTGCCAGTCTATGTCAGATGAAGTCAGTTTCATGCGTAGCTACATTTATTCTATGAGTTTCCTTAAAAATTTTGCTGAAATACTCATAGACTTTTTTAATGTAATATGAGAAAAATCTTTCATAATGTCAATGATGACTTGATTTTAACGCATACTTGTTGGTGTCATAGAAAAAGGTGTAATCTTTTCCACAAAAATATAGCTCGGTTATATGTCATGAATATACAACATTTGATATACATGAGTTTGAATTAAAAATTACCTCGCTGGAAACGGCTGCTCACTTCACTTCACTTTTATTACATTTACCTCGTCATTTCTATATGTTGTAGCTCTCTTTAGAGTAAGTGAGTATTTGTGTAATTGAAATGAGACCTTCACGATACTTTTTCAAAGCGTATCGATTCAACAAACTGTCAATATCAGTAGCGAAAAGTAACAAGTGCTTGAAAGATTCGTCAGTCCTGTTAGGTCCTGGGTAGCTCAATGGTTAGAGCAGTCGCTCGGATTGCGAAAGGTCGTGGGTTCGATTCCCATCTCAGGGTGCCAGGGACCTAGTGGATTTTTTTAGCATTTTATATTCAAAATAATTTTCAGTATGGCATTGTGAATGCAAAATTAATCAAAACATACAATGTAAGAACGGAAAAAATACTGACCCAGTTACAAGAACTGCGGCAGAAATAATAGCATATAATAAGAAAAAGCCTTATCTTGACTGTAGTCTACGAGGACATATGTTATACAATTTAATAACAATAATGGTTAATCAAAAACTAATAAAGAGAGTCAAATGGGAAGGCACATAGCTCCTGGCTGACAGCCAGCGAATACGCGGAGTGGTCGTTCCAAGTCATAAACGATTGCTGGTATTATTATATTTAGAAGATAATGAACGCGCTTGCATGCCTCTCTAATCATAATTATTTTTTATACTCACTGCAATATTGGATAATTTTTAATGACAGATTTTATAACAGACCTCATAAAATCTCTATAATTAACACTAAACGATCCTAACTTACAAAATTGGCGAGGTATTTCCAAAAAGTATTACAACAAATGGACGCGCTAAATGAAGTTAAATTTATCTAACCTAGCAAAAATAAATTAAAGCCAAGTTAAATCATTGATTTATCAACAACAATGTTAATAGATCATCTGGAACGAACCTATGATACTAGTTCTCAACACTACCTCCAGCCGTAAACAATGCTAAAGTTTTGAAGATAACAATTCAATGTCAATAAAAACAATGTTCTACAGAGCTGTTATCTTGGTGTCCTTATTTATCCAGCGTACTATATGAGCAGCAGTCAATATAGCATCCCATACAAAGTGATGACTGAAAATTGGTGCTTCATCTGCATAAGGCAATTTTAGTGCAGTACGCCTAAACCCCTTTCTTATCTGCTGAAAACAGGCACATTTCTGTTTCTTGTTCTTGTCTCTTTTTGTCGTGTAAATGACAATGATGATGTAATTACACAGTTGCAAATGGAAAATTAAATTATTATCTATCTATCTTTCGTAAGAATACGACACAACTAAGTATAAGACTACATTTGTATATATATATATCTAGTCGTAAGTGCAGCATGCCATAAAGAAACTCCAATGACCGTTCGTACCGTAGTGGCTGCCATTAAATCGTCCGCAAGATTAAAACTGAACAACCCCCAAAGCTTTTTACGAGCTGAAGTCAAGACTGAAAATTCTCGAACTTTAGATAACGTTACATATTGTAGGTTTGATCGCAATTTAAGGAGCCGAAGCATTTTAGTTATTTATAAATTTTCCCTTAAAGTTCTACTGTACATATAGTCTTCTCTGAATTCTGTCTTATGTGTTTTACTCTATTAAAATAGATTTAGCGGGGGAAAATTATGATTTATTCGAAATAAAATAATAACCGTTAGGCTGTTAATACGATTAGCTTTATATCCTCTGTTTCATACTTGTGGTTGATGATGATTTTCAAATCGCCATGTAACTCCCTTAGAGGTTGAAATTTTCAAAATAATTTCATAGTGGATATCTACGTTATAATAACCATTAGCAAACTAAATTTGAACTCGATTCGTTCAGTAGTTTGAGCAGTATGTTAATAGATAAGTCAAGTGTAAAAATGTATGAGTCCTAAGCACATCATTGTAAGAAATATCAGAAAAAATATGTCATAATCCAAGTAATGGTACCAGATTAGACTGTACATTTTTTTTTAATGCAGAAACAGCTGAAACAAAATTGGCTAACGAATCAAAGTACACAAGTCACTATAATGTACGAGTATTAAAAAACCAATACCTATCTAAATATTGTGTACCATATAACACTCTCCCCTATATAATGTACAAGGCAAATAAATTAGAAGCTTTAAAATGATAGGACTACAAATTCTAACTAAATTACAAAACAATCAGGCAAAAACAATAAGATATATGATCTAGCCGAATAACGATTTCAAGCCGAGCCAAACTCTCTGAAAAACCTGTTGGGAGCCGCAAAACAGAAAGCCTTACTGTTCACTTCAATCCAATGAAAAGGAGCCTTAAATTCTTTTACAATAGGAATGTAAATGCTATCCGCAATGGCGTCTACCCTGTGAACCGAGCGACTCGTAATAAGTGCCCTCGCAAATTCCCATCTCGTAACGTATTGTGGAGAACATAACAACTGCTCTAGACATCAGGCGATTATGAATCTTGTCCCGTTACTGTGCAGTCTAATTTTGAATGACGCGAAAGTGCTGAAAGAGAGGGTGCCCGTCGACGCAAGAACGTAAGCGGTGCGCGAGCCTCAGCAATATGTTCGTGTATTGTTTGACGAAACGGTCCGCTCAATAGATTACTATTAGCTTATTGAGAACAACACCCTTACCATAAATACATAGTGCCGTCGAAAATATTGTAACATTTACTAAGTACAATATCTGTATTCTGTTCTCCTATCAGCTTGAATATAACAGAAATACACGTTATAATTCTAAGCGAGGCCAAATTGCCATCATCGAAAGAAATGGAGCTTAATTCAGTTTGCGATGAAGGCAGTGAGCGTTACATCATTTTATAAATATTCTATCTACACATTTCGTGCCTTAATGTATGTTCCATAAAAGAAATTCGTGATAAGTCTGAAATAAATCAAGATGATGTTGTATTATAAAAGTACTTTTTTAGTATATAGAAGGTAAAATTAAATACTGATTCAAAAATGGAGACATAAATTCTCTGAAGGTTTTTAGTTAAAATAGTCGAAGAAGGGCTATTGAAAGAACCAAAAGTCTGATTTGTTTTCTCAAATATAAAAAAAAAACACCTAGAATTCATAAATGTATTTGCCATCCCTCATATATATTAAAAATTTATTGATTCATTGCAAAAAAGGGAGGATAAAGAAGAGAGTCACATAAATAAATTTATTTGGAATCCATCAGTCCAGGGTGATTCTTTATTACAAGTGATTGCACAAGATTCCAAATTTGAATTTGTATTACTTTATTGCATACTGATTCTGATCATATTTTTTCTATGACAGAGAATACTTGCAGATTAAATCCTACAACATTAGAATTGGTGGTACAATTAAGTATTAGTTATCTAGCTTCTACCAGGATTCACATACCAATACATTGAAAATAACAATTAATAGTTGTAAAATTAAATAATTAGCTTGAGAAAAAGTTTCTAAATCCATTTGATAAAAAGAGTTGTAGATATTGAAAACTAGTAAGAAACCGGTAGTGTCAATACAGGGTTAAGAATTAAAACAGTATTATAATCGAATAGTTATTAGTTTGAATAGTATCGATATTATCATTAGTTCTATAAACTAAAAAGGGTATATTAAAATATGTCTGTATAATTTTCCAGGTTCGAAATAGAGATGTTCCAATTTAAAAAACAGCACAACTGTTATCAAAATCGTTTCAGTAGTTTTGAAGAAATAAACTAATAAAGTTTAACTGATAATAAAAGAGGAGTAAATAAAAAAATCAGCTCGTAATCGTAAAAACGAGTAGCTCGGTGGCGTTGTTGTGGATTAGCGCCGCGGCCCGCGATCGTAGTCGTTAAGCAACTTTCGCAAGGGTCGGTCACGGGATGGGTGACCAAAAAATTATTATCTTGAGCTACTTCGTGCTTCGGAAGGCACGTTAAGCCGTTGGTCCCGGCTGCATTTGCAGTCGTTAATACCCTCCAATCCGCATTGGGCCAGCGTAGAGGGTCATGGCCCATCCTCCTTAACCATCCGTAAGGAAGTCCTGAGCCCCTGCAGTGGGGACGTAAAAGGTCTAGTGATGATGATGAAATAAAAAATGAAAATGATATCAAAAAAGCTAAGAAATACTGAAAAGCAAAATTCAACAATTTATTAATATTATTTATTTCCAACAACAACAACTCAAATATTCGACAATATTTCTTGAATTATTATTCACTTCTAAATAATTTTAATCAGAAGAATTATTGTTATAATATTTATAGAATTATTGTAAAGTCGTTCTTTTTATTATTTTCTGTAAGGATCAATTGGTAAAAATCGAATATTCTGAACTTCGAAAGTAATAGTGACATTCAAATTTAGAAAAATGTGGCTCCACTGCTTTGTTTGTATTATTCAATTATCTATGAAAGTAAAACTTTAACCACTAGCTTTTTAGATAGTAAACTTTTCTATAGTTATCGGTGATATATTTTAATAAAACCGCTTGAAAAATCCTAATTTTGACGCAAACAGCTTACGACTGAATGATCTTTACATAAATAATACACTAATAATAAAATATTAAACAAAAACCATCATATAGAAACCGTAAGAATCGTAAATCTAACACAGTACACGTTGTA